TTCAATATAAAACAAACTACAAGGAATAAGTATAATTATATTTTTCCTTTGAATGTTACTCTTTAAGGCGGAAAAAGCAAGCTGTACGTACTGTGCCTGTTTATTAAAAAATTTCTTAATAAAGATTACTTATGCAACGCATAATTGTTTGCATATTTACAGTTTTGAACATTATATACATTATTATTAAAAGCGAAAGTAGGATGATTTTTCGGCGAGTTTCCAACTTTCTGCGTCATGTAATAATAATTATTTTATATCCGTAATTTAATTACCGTAATTTTATATTCTTGTAAAAAAAAACATGGAAGAAAATAACTTTCGCGTTTCCCCTTTGAAATTTCGGATTTATCGAAATTAAACCGGTTTCAATCTCTGATATTTTCACGACTCGGTAGCTCGTGAAAGGTAAGAAACGTTCTTATCGCGTAAAAGAGAGAGGTTTACATTTACATGTTCCTCGAACATAATTATACTTCCGTGCGTGAACATAATTCAGGATAATGTTCGCGAATCAAGACACCGTCGAGTTAATTAATCATTCAGTCCTTGCGATTGAACAGTGTAATAAAAATTACTAATCAGCGATATTATTTGACAAAGAAATGTAAGAACGCGCTAGAATTTTGCAAAAAATTAAATCCTTCTTGTTATTAGTTAATAATCGTAAAGATGTTAATGCATACTAAAATTTGCGTAACTCTTGCAAATTCATGCTGCTTTAATTATTATACAACACGATGTACAGTATATCTATGTAATGAGTTACAACTTACAGCACTTCTCTCGATGTATATGAGATTTCAATTATTTTAAGGTCATATTATACATATAGAGAATTATAGCGGAATTATACAGGAATCATATATAACGTAATCGAAAAAACTATCTTTTTCAGCTTTTTTCTTCTTTCCTCTTTCTGTTATCCGACTGAAATTCAATGCGATCGCGATCCCATTCCATCGTCATCGGAGATTGAAACCGGCGAAACTTCGAAGAGTTCAATTCTCGATGTCGCGGATGTGAAAAAAGAGAATCTTACGACTATACCGCGCTGTTCCATCGAAAACATGAGTATTATTTTCGCGTATTTAATAGCGATATATTTTTGATCTCAAAAATTGCAACACAGAATTCCCATTTCCAACCACATAAAACTGTAAAGAAAACAATCGTTTTTTTCCCTCGCATTAATAAAAATAGATACTTCTATAGGAAAGTCAACGAGATACAAGGGAGAAAAAATTATATCTAATTATATTTTTTCTCCCTCGGGCGAGTCGCTTATGGAAGTTTTTTTCGGAAATCTTTAATTGGAAATATATTATCTTAATTAATTGAGAATTAACTCTTTCGTGACTGTGACACATTTCTTAAGACTTTTTCGAAAAAGATGAGTTATTTCAATAATTATAAATATATCATATATTTAAAAAAAATTTGACATGAAATTTTTACGCAACGATTTATCCGACGTGTAATTAGCGCTTAATACACTTAAATAATCGCCCTGTAGAGATCTAATTGTAAGTAGATGAATGATAAGGGGTAAAACCGCCCCTTCATATTATCAACTTTGCGACATTACACATGCAACATGATAATTTAGACATTTCACAGAAATGCAACATCGTTAACTTATCTCGCCTCAGCCGCGAAAGGGCTAAAATACAGTCTTGTAATTAACATATGTATGTATGTTATTTAAGAGCTGCTAAATACGAAGCTCGCAATCTTAAACGAGTAATCACGATATAAATAAATAAATCACGATTTTCTCTTTTCTCTTTTAAAAAGAAACTTCAATTTGCTGTTGAATCAGTACGCGAGAAAAAGCTTCGTTCGCTCTGCAAAAATCTATTTCGTTAATCGAATTCCACTTGCACGGGATAATTATTTGATAGCATTGTTTATTAAATCGTACAGAGATGATTGACCATTTTTTCCTTCGTTTTCCCCTTTTTAATAATTATAAAAGCAAATCGCGCAAGGGTAGACATATTTCGTCCCGCGATAAAAGGAAAAAAATATACGTAAATTAACGATAAAGGATAAAAAAAATAAAAATTATAATCGACAATAATATATATTTTTTATATAATAGTGCAATCAATAAATCGTATATATATATATATATATATATATATATATATATATATATATATATATATATATATATATAAATATATATATATATAAAATTAATATATATATAATTATATGTATATGCATATATAATTATATATATAATGGTCAAGTTAAATATTTACATTATACATACTTCTACTTTTCTGCGGATCCGTGTGTTTGCACAACAAACGCTCTTTGTGTGCTCTTAATCTATCTAGCTTCTCTACCGCACCGGAGCTATGGCAACTAACGTAATAATGGCAAGTACTCGCTGACGGAAAATCGAGAGTCGATGTTTAACGGTGGACAGTATAGTTCGTGGAATGGAGTGATTGATTATCGATATTCGTGATAAAGCGACCGATAGATCAAGGCGAGGATTCGGCTGATTTACTGATTTTTTTTTCGCGCTACATCGATCATAAATAATCCCAATATAATTTCGCCTCTTCTAAATTAAATGGTTATTTCTAAAACATTTTTTATAGTAACGAGGATATTTTAAATTTCAATGATTCAGTAAGGTGAAACCCTGTATGGTATGTAGCAAGACATTAATTATCCGGATGCAAAGTAGAGGAACGATGTATATAATGGCATCGATTATATTAGCTGCGCGAAATTTTGAGAAATATTGACGAGATTCATTAAACAAGAAAAATAATATAAATAAAATATAAATAAAAATTCAATCTTAAAAGAAAAATCTTTCAGATATCTGTGTATATATAAAAAATGTTAAAATAAATATGTATATATAATTATATAATAATATTTACGATATTTTAAATATCTTACACATAAAAAAATAAATATATGAATTTATGATATATGGATATAAATAAAATTTTCAAAAATATATAATTTTGTACACACACATGTACATGTATATTATTTGGCTCTGGATTTTTGTTCACTCTCGTTGAGATTCCAATCAGAAAGGAAATCTCGATTTTCGGATAATCAATGTCCGGATAATTAACAATTTTGCCGTATTAGTATTTTGAGGGGCTTCAACGTTGTGCGAAACACGTTAATTGTCAACGCGCTAATCTGATTAACTCGACGACACGTACGAATCAATCAATGTTACTCGCTTTCATCTCTCACGGCCAGAGCCTGCTTGTACATGTTGCGCGATTTTATTCTTAAATAACTCTTTCTCAGTTTTATTATTTTTGTTTATTGCAAGACAAAGGTTCTCGTCACTCCCGAGACTTTACACGTGGCGCGAAAAGACGATCTTGTCACTTCGAGTGAATATGAAGATGAAGCTCTATGTTTTAGCGTCAGCCGATCTTATAACGGAACGGGGAGACTGACAAACACAACGGAAAGGGATGGACCTAGAAGGGATAGAAGGAAAAAGGAAGGGTCCGCTTTCTTCTGATTGCGATCGAGTCCCTTATCTCTAATACATTCAACAACTAGAAACAGAGAAACACTGGGATTGTGCCGTAGCCGAATATGAGAGTCTCGACCCATTCATTGGTAGGTATATTATGTTTGTGTGTGTGTATTGTGTCTATATGTCTGCAAGTTTCTCGTGCAAGCCTATTTTTTATCTATCTCACGCGTCTAATACGCGTGTATGTACGTGTTCGTCTTCTTTTTTCCTCCCCTTGTTCTCGTTTTTTTTTCTGTTTTCGGAATTTTAGGTCACGAGGGTGTAAGCCGTAAAACGCGTACGCTCGAGCAGGCGGAATGGAAGCAGCTGGGAAGTTATTATACGAGCCCACGAATCGCTCGTCGCTTGGTTGCTGCCTCGTCCTACGTGTTGTACATACATATATACACGGTTTGCTGCGCAAAAACAATGTATACTCCAAACATTACTCAACATACATACTTATAAAAGTGCATGGAGAAAAGGAATTCGATGACACGGCCGAATTTGTCACTGTCGCAGCGAGTGTACTATCCTTAGTCGCTATGTGAACAGATTAAGAAGAGAGTCGGACGACGGAGTCTACTGATCTAACATTCTGTTAATCCGAATTATCTCGTTGTACGAATTAGACCAGTGTTTGCTGTCATCTAAATAAAATTATATGGATGATCATCTAGATGAAAAACGTATTGTCTTTACTTAAATTATCTAGAATAATATTCAAATACTTTGTTTTAGAGGTGTAGTACGTACAAATATTTAAGTAGTAGAACTTAAGCAGTAAGCGATAAAAACTTACAAATAAAAGTATGAATCCCTTTTATAATTCACATTTTTTTATAACTATACCTATATAAGCAATTTTAAAAATAATATTATCTAGATGAATCGCTATATAATTTTATCTTTTATTTAGATATATTTAAATTCATAATCATCTTGATCTTATCTATAAGATGAATTTACATATTTTCATCTCATCTTTATCTAGATAATTTTAAAATCATCTACGCACAACACTGAACTGGGCTGACTAGTGTGTGTTATCGAAAAGTACAACGATACGTTTTTAGGATTAGGAATATTTCAAGAAGAAATATTGTATCGTGGATTGTCTGTGCTTTAATAATAAACAAACTGATACTTTTCTATTTTGTCAAAATAAAAAAGTTTTGCTGTTATACAATTGTTAAAATTTCCTTAAATCTCTCGTTGTGCTCTCGAATCGTTGAATAAGCAGCAACAGTGACAGTTCCGCTATGACAGGGAATTCCTTTACTCAGCGTGCGTGAGGAGGTAGAAATCGCAGAAAAATGCTCCCCTCGCGCATTCGGAGGGAATAACGGCTTCGCACGGACAATGATAAATTTATACTTTCGAGGGTTTCGTTTTATTCTCCCTCGGAGAAATGAGATGAGAAGAACGCGTGTGCACGCGATTCTTCTTTCGTATCTCGACTCTGCTCGAAAAAAAAAAAACATATTTACATATACATATAATTCTGCAACATATCACGTACACATAATAAAATGATTCGGTTCAAGGATAACACAGAACATCCAGCGTTCAAATTCAATCGATAATTTATACAATGATCTGAGAAATAAATTTTCACAACCAATCACGTCCAAATTTTTAGAGAGCGGCGTAACTCCGATCGATAACTTTAACACGAAAAAAAGAAAAAAAAACAGAAATCACTCGAGAGCGCATTTAGTGCACAATAAATGCAATATGTATTTATATTAAATATATATATATATATAATATAATATTGTATATTATTTCCCGTCGCATCGCCACATTCTTCTGCAGTTCCTCCGCTTCGAGCGTCACAGACAAGAAAGGATCCACGAAGTTCGTCAAAAATGCACAATACATAAACAAAACAACAGACCGTACGTTATATCACTCAAGAACCGAAAGATTCGCGATACGCGTTTTCATTTTTTTTATTTTCGCTTTTTAGGTCTAGTGTGGCGAGCGCGTGAAAAGTGCCTATATCCTTCTTTCATTCAGCGCGTCTAGTCGTTGGATATATACAAGCTCTTCCGTCACGATATAACATACATATAATATGACACCGTAAATAATACTACCCTCTTCCGGGTCGGCAAGCTCAAAGGCAATTTTCACGCGCCGCCTCTCGCTGTAGACGACATACAAAAGATACCATGTATACGCGTGTATAATATAACGAATTACACATTGTTTTAAACGTGTAAACAGAATTCACGATAATGATAATGCCTCTATCGGAGGATAGAGTTCACTCTTCTCTTCTCTATTTATCTAAAAATGTATACCACGTGTATGCGTAAATAAAGCTGATTTTCGGTCTAAAATTATATCGCTAATATAGGCGCTTCCTCTTTTCTTTTTCTTTCGCACGAGAGCGCACGCGACCACTCCCGATGAAATTTTACAGTTACAATAATACGATTAGATTTCTTTTACGCACTAACGTAATAATTAAAAAAATCGGATATTACTCTGAAAAATTCGAGATTATTTTTTTAAACTGTTCCTCGGACAGTACATTTTTTTTCCTAACGCTCAATTTCTTCATCGTTTTCGCTTTTCTCACTGGTATACACACATCGCCGTACATTCCCGTGTACGTACACACTTTTTTTATTCGTGATTTTAATTTAATTTTGAACATTTATTTCGTCTTTATTATGCACTTTGCCCGTAGGGGATGGGGGGGAGCAACTTAGGACCATCGCATATAATTTATCACTGCGAATAATTAAATCGAGGTATGTTTACATCGAAAAATTAGCAGAACGTTCATTTTCCTTTTGATTATATTCCACCTGTTGTGAGTTTTAGATATCACATATTTTAGACATTGTGTTTCCGTGTGTCTTGCAGATCTTCGTCTTGTTGGTTTCTTTTTTCTTTTTGCCCCCGCTTCATGTTCGCCTCTTTCCTCTACTCTTCGTTTTACCTCTTCGAGATTTGTACAGCATAATATTCGACAAATTCGTCCAATTGTCAGCATGTTAACGATCGCGTGACGCGTTGGTTTATACGGTCCTTCCTCTCTCTTCTCCTTGTGTTGCGATGATTCAAGTTTAAATTTTTAGCTTTTAAGATTCCGACAAGCGTATTCAACACGCATTGCTTTTACGTTTCTTTTATACACTGGTATAATTCTAAGAGTCTCTTGTTTTATATTAACTGTCGAGTGCAAATCTTATTTATATACTTTACGTCTTTTTTATTGTGTTGTGTTTCATTGATGTTTCTCCGCTCGCGAGAATATATGGTAATACAATTGTATATTACCTATTCTCAACATTATTCAACACCACTGCTTCGATATACACAATTTACATTCCGAATACACTGTTTCACACCGTGTGAATTTACATTCGTTTTATTTTTTTTACGTGTTAGCGCGACTTTCATTAGAGTTTTAAGCAAGTTCATTAGAGCATATATTAACGAAGCGTCAAAATGTTCTTATTATGGCGTATACACATGCTTCTTTTCCTTCTCTCCTTCATTTTTTTAATGCTTCGGCACTGCATTCTCGTTATATGATAATTTCAAGGATTGCAGAACCTCGATAAAAAGGACCACGTGAAAAGTTCGATTTACGATTAGCCTAGCGTTCCCCTTGTTTACACATTCAAATTATAATTTGATATATCTAATATTATACTGTGTCTTACACATATGAGGGTTTTTGTTATTTTATTACTACCGTTTCTTGGCGACACTCGATTGCCGAGTTCTTTATTAAAATTGGAAAAAAGTTTTTCTTGTCAAACATTTTTGACAAGGTTTGATCAAAAGAGAAATAACAGATTCAAAATAGTAATTATTACATGAGAAATATTATTGTTAATTATTTATCAAGATAGAATATAAATGAGAGAACGAATAAATATTTTTTTGAAATCTTATAAAAGATAAAAGAGAGAAGGAAAAGTATAACAAATGACAATACAAAAGATAGAAATGATGATCTCTATGATGAAAAATAAAAACAAAGTATTATGATATCGTCAGAGAATATTGCGTAACATGACGTATTAACAATAACAAAATATCTTTGCAATAAATAGGAATCTTTGAGAGTATAACAATTATATGTATATGATGGCATGTATATACGAAGAGATTAAAGGAAAGATAATATATTATAATAAAGAACTCGGCAGCAGATTACTGCATCTGCTCGCGATATTATTGGACTTACGGCTCTAACAATTGTTTGATTGTTTAATTATTTTAGGTTAGTTCCTAGTTGACCATAAGTGTATGCGATTCCATGGGCGCCGCGCTATCGTATAACGTATCCGTATCTTGCGTAGGCTCACCCTGCAGCTGGCACTGATTGCTCAACGTTCCGGCACCGCAATCACAAAAGAATCTAAAAATATCAATGCACGATATTTCATTATAACTATTTAATTCCAGGATAGAGAGAATGTCTACCTAAATAATACGAATCGAAGCAAACTCTCACCGGTCATGTCTGATGAATTCCACATCGTGACCGGCATGACAAGTTTTTATACAATTAACGCATATCGCGTTGCGATCTGTCGTGTTGCAAGTTTGACAGCGATAGAAGTCGTGCATGGGGAAAGAAGTGTACGATGAGATTTTGTACAAACATTGGCCACCTTCCACAGCTTTTTCTACCTGGTCTTGGTTTTTAAAGATTTTATTGCCTAGAAAAAAATACGCATGGAGTTCAACGGATTTTCATTTCTTTTTTTCTTCGTCAAAAAAAAAGCTACTATCGAAAAAGCAAATATTTACCTCTAGTTGTCGGTTGCACCCCACTCGCTAGGCACAGACCGCCGAATCGATTATTGAATATTTGATTGAATTCCAACGTGGCGGTGGCGTTGTTGGTTATTTCAACGCCGGCTGCGAAGCCATCGAAAATCCGATTTCTCCTCAAGATCGGCTGCGATTGCGTTGAAATGAGCACGCCCGCTTGCGCATTGCGAAATATGTCGTTTTCTTCCAACACACCTGTATATATCGAAATACATGAAAATCACAATAACGATCTATTTTTCCTTTTAATTTTATTTATAATGCTTTTTATTTACGTATATTTTTCTTTTAACAATTATAAAGCGAAAAGTTCTATGGAATTGATCAGTTTTAAATGGAAATAATTATTAATTATTATAATTATTAATTTAATATAATTATTAGTTTGTTTACTTGCAATGTACTTTACATTAATTTTATCTTAATAAAAATATAAAATATATATAAAATGTTAGTTGTAAGAGCCTAACGCGATGTTTTTTGCGTCGGGGGGTATTGGGAAATTTAATATTTTCCGCTAATTAATTATTAGAAAATTGTATCTCATATCGAGATCTCCTGTTTCCTTTAAGCCTCTTGGGCTGCGTTCGGAAACGTCCGCCGAGTGTATTCTCTTTCTTTCTATATTACTTCTATAGCAGGAAGAGAGGAAATGTATCTGACGGACGTTTTCGAACACGGCTTAGTAAGACAATAGACGAGAAAATTGGACCTTTCGGAAGGGTCTGAATAGCTTAGTGGTAAGAGCAGTTGCTCGGCAAGCGAAAGACTCGGGTTTGATTCCCAATGCAGCCACTTCAGACCGATATTTTTCTCGCCTATTATATATAATTTCCTAATAATTAATTAGCGGAAAAAATTAATTTTCGCAATAACCAAAAAACATCGCGTTATTATTATATATTAAATTTAAAGAAAGGTAGACATTAATAAAATAAAGCTATTTGTATATTTATTATGTGTGTACGATATGAAAATTATTAGTAGTTTCAAACAGAATATTTTACCTTTGCCGCCATTAAATATACAGATTCCGCCATCTCGTCCGTCATATATTTTGTTCCTCTTAAGAGTCGGATTGCTGTCTGTCTTTATCCAGACACCGGCCATTGCGTTGTCAAAAATCTCATTTTGTTCAAGTAAGCCTAAGCCGCTATTATATACAAGAACACCGCCGTTCTGACCGCCCCATATCTTGTTGCCACGTATTACCGGATTACTCCCAGTCCTAAATTAAAAGAAAAACAAAACATAATTTCAGAACAATTTCTTTTTATTGCTACATTTACGCCTTCACGACTCGCTAGTATCTTTTAATCCTTTTTGGCACATGCGAATTACCTTATTTGTACTCCCGAATACAAATGATTGAAAATATCATTGTCCTCCAATCTACCGTGGCCATTGTCGTAAAAATACACGCCGACCTGTTTTCCACTGTGAATTCGATTTCTCCTTAAAACTGGCGTCGAACCCGTCGTGATCCACACCCCTGCCAGGGTGTTGGCGTAGACCTCATTCTCCTCTATTAGACCTTGGCCTTTTTCGTGCACGTAAATACCACCGTGTTGACCGTGATGAATCTTGTTATGTCGAACGATCGGATCCGAGTTTGTTCTGATCTGTATGCCGGCCAGCGCATTGCCGTAGATGTTGTTGTGCTCGATCAGACCTCTACCTTCGCCGAATATGTACACTCCGCCCTGATGGCCGTTGTATATTTCGTTTCGACGTATAGTCGGATTCGAGTTCGACGTGATCCACACACCGGCAAAGTTGTTCGAGTGAATTTTGTTATCGATGAACTGTCCCAGGCCGTTTTCATGCACATAGATGCCACCGGTCTGGCCGTGATGAATCTCGCAATGAACTACTGTCGGATTCGCGCCAGCCTTTACTTCGAAGCCCGCTATCCGATTATTATGAATATCGTTAGCCTCGAAATAACCCAGGCCATTGTCAAACGTAAATATCCCTACGTCGCGACCGTGATGGATATGATTCCGTCGCATGATAGGATTCGCGTAGTTTTTCACCCAGATGCCAGCCAGGGCGTTCCGCGAGATCTCGTTGTCCTCGTATGTGCCTTGTGCGTAATCGGTTACGTAAAGACCAACGTTTTCGCAATCCGAGATATCGCAGTTTTTCACTAATGGATTGGCACCCACGCCCGATACGCAGACCGCGGCACCAACTAAAAAAAGTGTAAAAAAAATCTTAATAAATGAGTCATCAAAATTATTAAAATTTATTAAAATATAGGATTGATGTGTCAATCAGCTTAAAAGTCACCTTCGTTTCAAAGATTGCAGCATATTGAGTAATTATAAATCTTTTGTCATATTTAATCATTTTTTAATAATTAACCCCAAATTAATCTTTTATAAATATTTATTTTAATTTTGGAGATAATTCTAAATCTTATAAACGGTTTAATTAATTATGCGTTTGCAAAATACATACTTATAAACGGATCACTTACCAACACTGGAGCTTCTGATAATGCAATGATCGACGGTGGGACTGCAATTTTCGCCAATCTCCAGACAATAGTGTTTATGATGGGGCACTGTGCTCGTGACATCGGGCGTAAACTTCAACGTGAGATGCCCGGCGTAAGCGCGCTTTGCACCTTCCACAAACATAACCGTCGACTCGCTCTCCCGCTCCAGGATAACGGATTCCGCGACGTTTCCTGGCGCGGCGCCGATCAGCGCCACATCGCTGTCGATCACGAGGAACTCGCCCCTGTACGTGCCTGCGTGTAGAAATACTAAGTGCTGCGTCGAGGTATCCTCCCCGCTCGTTTGCGAATTGCTATTGCAACAGCCTTGTCCACTCGCGGTCGCGCTTCCGCCGTTCGTCGTGGCGCCGCTGTTACTCCTGTACTCGTCCACGTAGTCCAGCGCGCCCTGGACCGTATTGAAATACGGCAGATTACGGCCCTTGAATTTCAAGTCCTGGAAGCCTGGTCGCACGTGCACGCCTCTGTATAGCTGCCTGAAACTCTCCTTCCACGGATTCTGGTACTCGGACTCGTCCGGCGACACGAATTCGAATTTACACGGGGCTGGATTAAACAGCGGCAGATCGTACTCGTAAACCTGCTGGTACAGTGACTTCCATAGCTCCGTGTCGTTCGCGATCACTTGGAAACGTTTGCAGACTTGCGAGACTCTGCAAAGATCTTGCTCCATGAGATAATTAAATATCGTGAGCAGCACTTCATCCGGTAGCTCGTATTGAAGATAATGCGCCGCCGTGTTTGTATTTATACCTGTCATGAAAAAATATAATTAGGCCTGACTGATTTGCAGAGTTGAATTCTAGAGATCTATACGTGTCTTCTTAAGTTTCCTTCATTAGGAAAACTTTTACTTATTTTATTAGATATAAAAAAATATACTGCATATTTATACGCTATATATTAATAATATATATTTATCATTATACAAGTATTAATTCTTTGTTTCTTGATACATGGAACAATTTTTAATTATTGCAACTCGTCTCTCAATTGTGACAACTTGAAGACGTACCGTCTGTAGAAAGCGAACATGTTCGTCTCGGTCGTTTTCTCGCCGGTAGAGACGACGAGCCGAAGGTAGCGGCTATGCTACTTCCACCCGATGGAGGTAAAGCGGAACTCGTGCCTGGTGCTGGATCCGGGTGAGGTGGACTTTTGCGTCTCAAGTCGTACGGCGACGAGTGCGACTGTGGAGACGGCGAAGGTGCAGCTACCCCGGATACACTAGGGGACGAGCCTCGTCCACCACTTCCTCCTCCTCCACCGCCAACTCCACCTCCCGGAAGGATGTGATTGGACGTCGGACACGGTAGGTCGCATGGCTCGGCTAGTAAAAACAAAAAATTAATTTAATTAAAAAAAGGAAAGTAGAGTTTTTCCGAAAAGAAGACAATGTCATATATATATATATATATATATATATATTGTATTATTTTTTGGTACTGTTTTACTATCTATTATACTACCCCTTTCTCATACTTTAAATATGAAATTAATGTGTCCTGCTAAAAGAAGATTGTAAAAAAGAATATGATTATATAATTAAATAATATTTTTTTCTGATAGTAAATCCTTAATAAAGTTTTAATATTTAGTCTAAAATAAATATAAGTAGTAAGAGAAAAAGAAAAGATAGAAAGAAGGATAAAGTATTGTGTGCCTTAGTTCAATATATATACCTGTCGAATAAAAAACGAAGCAGAAAGAGAGAAATACTGCACTGTTATAAATAATATATCCTGTTTACACGAACAGAAGAATAAACTTGTATACTTAATAAAGCAGTTTGTAAACGAAAAGCACGTTTCACAATTGTTGTCTGCTATAATCTCTATAATTATTAATAAGCCAGAGACCGCTAGAGAAATTTGCACATATTGACACAAGGTGACCCTATTTTACAAATGCTGATGCATAAATTGTCGAGAGTGCAATGTCGTAAATCGATGTAAAGAATCCGCTAATGAAGAACAATGTTGTGCGATTACATACAATATCTCACAATGTAATTCTTGACATTATGCATATCCAATTATACTTCAATTGTACACAGTCACAGAACCATGAATACAAAAGAAAAAATTATAAAACACTGCTTCATTTTTTAGCATCAAACTTATTGCAAGAGTACATATTGTTACAAATAAAGTTTTTAATACACTATGCATATATTCCTTTTGCCTCTCTACACGCAACATATTATTATATCACGATATCGAGACACGATGTACCTCACTATCGACCGATTATCGTTATCACAAAATATGAAATTCGTATACCAAAGTACAAATTGACAAAAAGAGATACGGCGAGGTTGACACATTCTCAGATATTCTGTCTTTTCTTCATTCACTATCAAATTATTATCTTCGGTGCGATGAGTATTGCTAAAGAAACACACTGTAAACAAATATGTAAAATTACAGAAAAAATATATAAAATTACAAAAATAACAAGTGTAATTTTATATATTTTTATGTAATATATTACATATTGTCACTGTAAAAAAATATGCAATATATTACATAAAAATATGTAAAATTACACTTGTTATTTTTTTATGTAATTTTATATATTTCTTTTTACATATTTAACATATCTTTTTCTATAATTTTACATATTTTTTTACAGTGCAGAATCCGTCACGCGCGCTTCGACTCCGCTTCGATGAACAGCGCCTTTCAGACACACATTTCACTTTCTAGCCGATAACACACGGACACGCGGACACGGGAGGGCGCTCAGCTCGTGGGATCCGCTCGCGGGATGCGCGATTTTTCGGGGCCGGGGATTAACTCTCGTTCACGTTGCCTTCGGCTCCTCTCCAGGATCTCCTCTCTCGCGAAAGTGGAGCGCCGCTCTAATTCATCACTCACAAAACGCCCAATATCGCGTCACTTCTTTTTGCTTCTTTTTTCCTTTTTCTTCTGTATATAAGAATAAAAACTATAAATTTAAGAATAAAAAATTTAGTTTAAACATTTTATTTATTATTTTTTTTTACTAATATTGTGCAATTTAATTCCAAAGAGAGAATTTGTTTAAATTTCACGAGTGTTCTCTGTTTGCAGTTAAATAGATGACTAATTTTGTATATCAGATAACATCGTTTTTATCCTTATTTACACCTACTTAATGTCTTTAGCAATATCTTTATTTGATTTTCTCAAAATATTCGGATATTGGCACTATTAATTTATAGATTTCTCTATACTCCAGATCTAATTAAAATTAAATAAAAAAAATGAGATATTTAAACAAGCTTTTTCTTTTCTTTTTTTTAACATACATTTAAACTAAATTAATTTTTAATTTTTAGAAAATCTCATTCTCTATTTTTTTTTTTTTTTAGAGAAATGTATAAATATCATACAAAGTTAAAGTTAATAATCGACATAAGCAATTGAATTTCTCTCTGAAAATAAAAAATGCGAAAAATTTATTTATTATTCGCCCAAACATTCAATTTCACTTCCTTTATCTCTCTTCTTAGGATGATATTACATTTGTAGAATAGCGATATTGACTATCGAATAAAGAATTTCTAAAGTTTCTCTCAAGATTCTAAGAATTCTCAGTCTAATAATCGATATGCTCGCCAAACATTTTGTCATATGAATGTAATATTCCCTTACATCTACTCTCTCTTTTTTCTCTCTCTCTCTCTCTCTCTCTCAGATTTGAAAAATTCGACTGTACTCTTGCGCCGCGTTCCAACTGGATCGCTGATTCGGAATCGAGAAGAAAGGGGAAAAAGAGAGAGAAAGAGAAAAGGGAAAAAAGGAGGCAGAGTACAGGGAGGGGGTGACTCCGAAGCCAACATTCCGATGGATTGATCGCGAAGTGGAGATCGCGATCGGACCACGACACAGTATACAGTATCGTGTACACGGAGGAAGGAGTACAAGATCGTTTCTCCAACAAGAGAGTTCGAGAGTTTACTTATTCTAATACTACAATTATTGTATTATAATAAGGATCGTGTTCCCTTAATGCGAGAGGGTCATTCAACCCTTATTATATTATGTTATTTCCTGAAACACTCGGTTCCTGCATTAATTATTTGTAAGAAGATTGTCTTCCATTCTTGCTTCATTGAAAAATATCATTCCTGCTTCTGTATACTTTTATGAGCTTTATATAGATTTTGAATTTATGGTTCTATGGCTGTATAAACTTTATTTCATGAATTTATCTTATAGTTATTTCAAGATAGATGATAGATTTTATAGATTATTAGGTTCAAATATTTTCTATGTTCATTAAATAGATTAGCATAATGCGAAGGAATTCTGACAATCATTTTTCTAAAACTTGTTATCTTTGAGTCCACAATTGTGTCATCTGCAGCAGTCAATCATATGTTATCTGTAAAAATTAAAAAGCAATATAGCTGATAGTAGCTATCAATAACAAATGATTTGCCCATCTAAAAAGCGATTCATAGAATTATAATTTGGAAATAAACAATTGAGCACAATTAGTAAAATAATATCGTAATCTTAGTATTTATTATAATAGGTATTGTTTTGTAAAGCATTCACTTGTCAACATTAATTATGATTATTGAAACTGTCCTTGTCACTGTGGCACAATATGGTTAAATATAATTTATAATTATAATTATATTATAATTTGCAAATAAACAGTTGAGCACAATTAATGGAACAATATTGTAATCTTAGCATTTATTATAATATTGTTTTGTAAAGCATTTAGTTGTCAACTTTAATCATGATCGTTGAAACCTTCCGTGTCACTATGACACAATATGATTAGATAATTTAGAATTATAATTAGATTATAATTTGGAAATAAACAATTGAGCGCAATTAATGGAAGAAATATTATAATCTTAGCATTTATTATAATATTGTTTTGTGAAGCATTTAGTTGTCAACGCTAATCATGATCGTTGAAACTTTCCTTGCCACTGCGGCACAATATGATTAGACTGAGTTTCTGCTTGACAATTTTGTATCTTGACAACCAATGAGTCTTTCTGAACTACCTAACCTCAGCTGCAACGCTTAGGAGATGCCTGCAAGTAACGACAGACACAACTTGGAAAAGTTCACTCGTACGGTTGCCAAAAAATGTGCAGAATAAATTTGTCTCGTACCGCATACATAAGTTTAGTTGCAGAGGATGTCAATGAATGTCAAGAATTCCTTCTCTCATCAAATATTACAATTTGGAGTCACTTTTTCACACAGACATAGAAAATATAGACTGCGCATATTGAACAGATGCTACACCAAAATTAGAAAAAGAAACAAAGTTTTGCGAAGTACAGTTTTCTCTCTCAAAGGAAATAGTAGAGGGGAATATACAGATATTATCTTTTTTTTTTTTCATGTTGGCACACAAATTTCTAACAAGGCATCATCTATGCTTTTTCAGCACCTTCCTAAACTCTTTACATATTTCACATAGAAACATCTTTTTTTCATTCTGGCACACCAAAATTTCTGACCATACATCTATGCTTCTGCAGTACCTTCCTAAACTCTTTGCAAAGACACATTTATACTTTCGGTATAAACCAGATAACAGGATAATCGAAACACAGGAAAGAAAGAATCGTAAAAAAAAATGCTAGATAGGTGAAGGCTCTCGCACGAATCCGATGGCAGGAAACACGTCGAGACAAAGACTCGACGGAGATGGCGGAGTAAATCGGAGCCGAACGTGCGTGATTACTCGGATGAATTTTTCCCAAACGAGATGGGCGATGGCGAACAGAGAGACAGACAGACAGGTGAGCTACAGAAGGAGCTTTCCGATGCGAAAGAGCGAGAAAGAGAGAGAACGAGACTCTCTTTGTGTCCCTGTCTTCCTCTCTCTCCATCTCGCTCGCTCTCGCGCATATATATATATATATATATATATACACACACGCACGTTCGCTCTTTCTTTCTTTCTTTCTTTCTTCCTTCCTTTCTTTCTTTCTCGCTTACCCGTGGTTCTCGACGGCAAAGGGATCCTGTTTGCGTTTTTCCGACGCGATCTCCGCACGTAGCTGCGCGACGACGAGAACGACGCGCTTGGCATCTTGCGCGTGTCGTCGGCGGCCCTCGGCGGTCGTCCTCGTGTCCGTCCCCGTTGCCGTCGTTGTCCCCCTCCCCCTCTGCCTCCACCTCCTCCTCGTCGTCGTCCTCTCGCTGGCTGCTGCTACTGCCGCTGCTGTCTGCCGCTCCTACTCCGAGATACTCCTCGGCCGACTGCGACTTCCCGGTTACGGAGGGACGCGCGCGAGGAAGTCCCGGGCGGCTACGCCGCGTACGCGCACCCGGACAGCAGAAGGTGGCCAAAGGCTTAGGACACACTACACAATAGCGACACTACCACCGTGCACGGCGGCCATCTTCTTGATCTCTGCTCGCCGACTGGCCCAGAGGGCAGCCGCCAATCGGACGTGTTTCTGCCCCGCGAGAGTGCGTGTCCCCTTCATTCGCCTCTCTCTCTCGCTCTTCTTCCCCTTCCTGCGTGGATGACAGCCGCCGACGCCACGGGGCGCTTACCGAGCTCCCCTTCCGCAGTGGAGCGCGACACGGGCGACCGACATCGGAGTTATGGAGTTATGGAGGCCGCGGCGGAGAAAAGTACCGATAACTCGCACAACTGTGTCTCCGCGATCCTCGCGTGCCTCGGGCTCTCGATCGTCTACGTGGCGAGCCTCTACGTCTGGAGTTCGCCGCACAACAGGTACGTACGCGTAGCTGTCAGATGACGGTGGACTCTTGCGGGATTTTGTTACGTGTTATGTGACGATGATGATGACGATGATGATGATGATGATGATGATGATGATTGTTGTTGATGATGATGATGATGATGATTTTATATCAACGAGACGTGTGTTTCTTCCTCTTTTCCTTCCTCGGGGAAAATGCTCCGAAAAATCGTTTCGCCCTTGGAGGCTCCTCTTTTTCCCCCGAGTGGGGTCCGTCGACGACCGCCTAGTTCCGGTTATTTAAACCGTCTCGCACCGACCGAATGGATATCCGTGATGAACTGACACACGCAGTTTCGCACGTGGTGGCGCTCCCTATCGCGGCGGCGCCACTTCTGGGGATTTCGAGCTCTAGGGGAGTGATTTTTAGGGACATTCGCCACAGGTGTGGTAACCTTCGGATGGAGCGGTTTCTCTATGTATTTTGTGTGTCTATGGTCTTTATTTTTGCAGACGTGACGTCACTCGTTGGAGATTTGGCGCGATATTTAAACGCAACAAAGTTCGAATTCATTTTGGAATAATTATTAAATTTTTGCAAGTGTATTTGATTGGCAAAATTAATATACGGTCAATTCTTTTTAATTATGCCACATTTTAATATAAAAAATATTTGTAGAAATATATATGTAATATATTTTGTATATAATAATTATATATAAAAAATAAATACTAACATAAAATATTCATGTCAATATGTCGATATCAAAGCTCTGATATGAATTAATTTTACATTTGGTTGTGTTTCAGAGAACATCCCTCAACGATAAAGAAACGATTTTTTAGCGTATTTATTATGACCCTCATTTCACCAGCACCTTTGTACTTTGGATTAAATGAAAAAGTATTTCAAAAGGTATTTTGAGTTTAAATATACTTTTGATTTATATATTCTGTAGTAACTCTTCTTATCACTTACATATCACATATCCTGATAGGTAACTATCTGGGAATTGCTGGGTCTACGATGGTCGGGTTTGATACAGGCGACTGTGATACCATTACTTCTAACAATGATCCTGTTCCTAGGTCCCTTGAGTCTACAGGGATTTAATGGGCTCTGGCGATTGTACACTGGTTAGTATTTTGCAAATCTGATTAAGGTTTAATTAACTGCGAAAAGAAAAAAGTAATAAATATAATTAATAAATCTTATTTTTAGAGCCCATGTACTGGTTGGGAAGCATACGAACGTTAATCTGGTGGAGAAATCAAGTAATTGCTCCACTCTCCGAAGAATGGACCTTCAGAGCCTGTATGTTGCCACTGCTCTTACAATGTTTCACACCGAGTACTGCCATATTCGTGTGTCCTCTGTTCTTCGGAGTGGCACATTTCCATCATGTGGTGGAAAGAATGAAGATGGGAGTGGGAATCAAACACGCGTTGTTTGTATCCTGTAAGTTGTTCACCACAGATTTTAAAAAGTTATCTGCAGTTATATGATGTTTCCGATGAATGAAAATATAAATGACTATTAAATTCAGGTTTTCAATCTGCATATACGACCATATTTGGAGCGTACGCAGCTTTCCTTTTTGCCAAAACAGGTAGGGTGATCATTTATCTCTTTCTCTCTCTCTCTCTTCTCGCGAAAATTGTTATTTCAGATTTTGAATTTTTTCTTCTTAGGACACTTCGTCGCACCATTCGCCGCGCATTCTTTTTGTAATCACATGGGATTTCCTGATCTTTCCGAAATAGCTGCGTACAAGGATCCACTGAAGAGAGCTGGGCTGCTCTGTCTGTTTGTGATCGGTTTAGTCGCTTGGTGTTTTCTGTTGACGCCGATGACGCATCCATCATTGTTCAATAATAATTTATTCTGGACTAAATATTTTATATGAGACGCGTCTGATCTCTCTAACAAATATACTAGGATTTAACCTTTTTAAGCAAGATCTAACGATTTACATTGCTGTGTGATATTTTGTATATGTATCTAACAGAATACGCGATACTTATTCTATTAAAAAATCTCGCGAGTATTAAAATAATTGCATAATAATAATTTAACTAATTTCAACTATATTACTACTTGGTATAAACATATACTTATAATTTAACTATGCAGCTCGGGATTGTTACAAAATGTATCACCGTAGTGCCTAAGATTTAATTAGATTTAATTAGATTTTTATAGTCGTAATGATATAAAGTGTTACAATGACTTTTAGATAGGTGAATTTATTCGCAAAACCAAAGTGCGAAAATAAAATTTAATTCTTCTATTATTATTACGAATTGTCGTATTTATGTGTATTTATGTGTTGCGATGAATTATTTTATGATATCATGACTCTATAAATTATAATTTAGCAGATAATGTTTTCAGAAAGATTTGTATGTAAACAGAAAACTATGTACCATATATTAATAATCGATGTAACATATTAAGAAAATTTGTAAAATGATCTTTCTAATCGTCTACTTTTGTAATAATCTGTATGTACAGTGTATGTACAATGTCTATATATGTACAATGGAAGTGATATTCAAATATTCAGACGATAAGCGATGCCGCCATACACATATACATGATAGTTTATTTACCATCGTTAAATCACAGAAGTAACAGTTGCGCAACAATATTACAATATATTATATATTATGTACATATACATATATATATGATAAACACGTATACATTATATATGCAGTAAAACTATAACAAAAGTACACGAGTACTCGTATATACATACATAAGAGAGCTATTCAGTTCTTGAATGTTTTTTAATTGCATACGTAATGTATACCATTTGTTAATCGAGAGATATCATGGAAAATACATTTTTTAAATAATGTTCATAGAGATCATGAAATGTTGAGAACGATATAATGTTGAAGTAATATTTAAGTGTTTTATGGTCAAAGAGAGAGTATAAAATTGCTAGAAATGTATAACAATGGTGTCACTTCGACTTACAATAATTATATATAAGTGTCCATCAAAATTTGACAGTATTTGTTAATCTTGTTTCAATGTCGCGAGAGAATGAAATGATGTAATTTTATGTACTACTATCTTCACATTCACTTTATAACATTGATACAGAATATATAATTCTAAACAAAACATTTAACTTGTATCATCTATCAGTCTATGAATTTATCGAATGTTTATGCCATTTCTTTTACATAAGACGAAGCAAACAGATTTGCATAAGACGAAGTATGTATAAATATTATATTGAAAAATGAACACCACTAAATTGATCTTTCTAAGAATAGATAATCATTTAAAAATAATAATAAATAATTTAAACAACATAAACCCTTCTCAGAAGGAGAAATATTTCTCTTAGTTAAATTTTTCGAAAAATTTAGTTATGATAATAACAATAAACAATGATTCATTAATCGAGATATCAAACTCCCTTAAAACAATTTAATAGATATCCATTTAAATTTATGTAAAACGGTAAATTAAAATAATAATTTCAATATTAACAGCTATAATTTACAACTATGTACTTGTAAAGTTTAATGCAGTCATCTTTCCTATATTATTTTTAAATTGCACTATTTAAATAGATAAATAGCGAACTTCGGTAGAGTAATGTTGTCTCGTTACACATAAATGCAAAGACGTTACTTAGGAACTATGACTACAGACTTTTAGTTTTTGAGTTTGTTTTTTAATAGTAATTTATTAAAATAAATAAATAAAATAAATGCAGATAATGGAGTAGCACGGTATATCTGGCATATTTTTTTGCCACATAGTTTGATCAGACGTGTACTTACGTTTGGCTTGGTCCAGGTGTTGCGTCTGGATTTTGCGACTGATTAAGAAACAACACGTTGCTCGACTTAATTCTAGGTCCGGCTGCGATCAACGAAGGTGACGGACTGATACAAGGTGTCGAACTATGACTGTTGCTTAGGTCGCATTGATCTAATAACTTCCAAAGCTCTTCTGGTGTAGGTCCACCAGAGGTATCTGAAGATGTAAATTATAAAAATCAGGGTGATTACATGGCGATTACATTTAATTAAATAATTAAATTTTGAGATTAAAGAAATCATGATTTTCAAAAATAAATATAATACACACTTAATGATTTATCATGAAATTATGTAAGTCATTATTTATCAATAACAAAACAAGTAATATTACAATATTTTTATGAATTATAATTATATTATGATAATGAATGCAATAATGTTTACTCTCTAAAATTTTAGAGTCTGATGTTCATGTTAAAGTTCCAGACATGTGAGCGACGCTCGCTAATTTCGTCACGTCATCACGACGAGAAAGAAAGAGACAGTAACATACCTTGAGTGGCATTGAAAGATGGATCCAATGCCGTTGTGAGATCCCACATTTGTATAGTGCCGTTAGAATGGCCAGTGAATATGAAGCGTCTGGGCCTTGAGCCCATGCGACTAGAGCCTTCACACTCGTGCACATAAAATGAGCTTATAATACTACCATCCACCGATTGTATCACGCAAACTCTCTTTCCATTCGATGCTAATCGAACAAATAATTGATCGGTTTCGGGTACAACCTTCTGCACGAACACTTGCTCGTCATCTTGTTCGCCAAACGGCCCTGTGTACATTATTCGGGTATTAACTTGAAAGAGTATAAAATCGGCATTTTAACAAATATATATATATATATATATATATATATATATATAATTGATATAAAAATATCTATATACATAAATATATAAAATATGTAAAAATATATATAAAAATAGAATATACAATAATATATACATATATATAAAGGAATTTAAAGAGAAATATATAACATAAAAATATTCTAAAATCGAAGAAAGAACGTTATCGAAATGTACCGAAGTCGTTGCCGGCGTTGTAGCTAACGCAAGGATCGATTGCTTCCAAGGAAACTATTTTGAAGCTTGCTTCAGGCGTTGATCCCGGTTGCGTTGAAATCATCCCGCGAAATCTAGTCACCGCCCAACTTCTAACGTGATTATACTCCGAGCAAACCGACACCAAGTATTTTTCTGAAAGTGTTACCTGCAATACAATTCGCGCATGATTAGAATTAATGTGTTATACGCAATGTTATAATTTAATTTGTAATCTTAATGTAAAAATCTTTGCTGAAATAAATTATTCGTTGCACAATACCTTGGTTACACTACTTTGATGTACTGTGAAAGTTTGAAATAACTGTGGACCATGGCCAACTGTTTCTGGATGTTGAACGATTACACGGACACTTCCAGATTTCGTCCCATAAGCGATTTCTATCCAATTTCCACAAAGACCTGTATAGGGAAAGATATGCTTTAAAGATAAAATATGCTTTACATGTTCGCATTAATCATCTGATGCACTTCAAAAACATTATTATCTAAATTATATGCACAAATTATATGAATAATATCGACTTACTGACAGGAAATACTAAAGATCTACTTTTTTTAATTAAAAAATAAATTTATATTTATGTAATTTTATATTGCATCAAAGCATAATTTAAAATAGTGTACATCAGAAGATTAATTTTATACATATAGGGATGCGTGAATGAAAGTGTATGCACATATGTCTGTGCATGCAAGTACGTTTTTGTGTGTATAACACTACAGTAATAGAAAATGTTGAAAATAAAATAAAATAATAGTTAAGAAACAAGTTCTTCAATATGTGCTATTCATATCAAATATTAATTAATAAATAAATGTTTCTGAAAAAATATTTTTGGAAAAAGAGGCTAATAATACTTTTTTTGTGCTATGCGTTGCAACAATAAACAAAAGCAACGTCTAAAAGAAAAAAATATATAACAATAATTATGCATGATTATAATTATGATTAATATAAGTATGATTCATAAGCAACTACATCTAGATATATATAGATTATAGATATTATAACATTTCGAAATTAATTTGCATTTATTGACTTTTATATGCGTGATTAAAAAACATTACTAGAAATTACCTATTTCTAAAATTTGCCACTATTAATAAAAAAAAATATACAAGCAAAGATACATATTTTCTATTACCTCCCTTTCCCCTCTCAGATGCTGGCATGGAACATATTACTATGAATAGAAAGAGCAAGCAGCTCCAATAATTGGATCAACAGAATCCAATGTGTAAAGTAATATGTGAACAAAGAAATCAAAGAATACACAACTTGCGTTAGTACAACTGGACGCATAAGGATAGCAGGGTTGTATGTGCAAATTGTGCAATCTCTAACATTATATCTCGTGTCTCTCGTGTAAATTCATTTTTTCAATCACGGAAAAAAACGTGTGTATAAAGCACATTCAAATATATATAAGTATTTATTTTTATGCTATCAATATGTTGCAAAAATATATGACTATGCGCCAGTGTACCGAGATAAAATTTAATGCTATCTGAGAGGAAGAGGGTATATTCGCTTTCATTTAATCACACGATTTACGTTTGATGCAGTTAACATAAAGTAAAGGTGGATGACGCTTCGAATCAGACATGAGACAGCAGAACATCTGCTTATATCGACCCATACTTGCCTTGTGCTATTTATCCAGTTGTACAATATGAAGCAAAGAATGTAATAATAAACTCTCATTAATATTTTTAACACTCGACATCTTTCATAACGTTATTATATCTATAAATATACTTTCTTCGTACATTTTATTCATCAATGAATTATTGTTAAATATACACCATTAAATGAATGGTGAAATATACACCAATTAATGTATAAAAGCAATTATATTTTTACACATCTATATACTAGTATACATTTAAAAGCTTTTGCTTTATTTTAACACACTGCTGGAATAGTTTTCGTCATTAAATCATTTATATTAAAAAACAGTGACGTTTGTTATTACATTCTGCACTAAGCAGCTTTAATAAATCTTTTTTAATAAAATATATTACTTGTTGGAAAATTGCTTTTTAAGGAATAATATTGCTGGCTTTAACTTTCTCTCTTCTGTATCTTGACGATACACTTATAATATAAGTATATCGTAATATATATCGTAATATAAGTCTTATATTAAGAAAGTAGAAAGAGCCTTACTTGTTTTCGGCGTTAAATACACAGATATTGCAGTTATGGGATCGTAACTCGGATCTCGATATAATTCGGTAACAAGCAGATCATTGTCTTTCATTCGCAAAGGAAACTTTTGCATATCTGTAAGCAAATTATTATTATAGAGTTGTTATATAATTTTTTTATCAAGAATAAACACTTTAAATCCAAAAAATTACCTCTACTCTAGTAGTGTTTTTGATTTATGAAATATTCCTTTAGCTATAGATCTTCAGTTTTTCGAATACTTAATGCAATAAAATAATTTTTATATCTTTGTATGTTTAATAAAAATATTCAGGTCCTTTTTCACATCTTGAAATGTATAATTTTGATCCTTGCTTACCGATATAATAAATAGACCCGTTGTTGCAACCTAATAAAAGAAAGGATCCAGCTGTGTCAAATGATAGGATGGGCACTACATCTTGTATCTGCCAGTGATGAGTCATCGCGTGCCACACGCCGATTTTTCCGGTCGGCGATAACGCGACCAATTGGCTACCAATGAAGAATAGATATTCTACGCGCACATTCAAGTTGAATGTGCCTACATTGATCTTGATTCCTTCCTCGGATACACCCCACAGCCTTACTTGATTGCCATAGGAGATGGCTACCATCTTGCCGTCTGCGCCACTTCCCATCTTCGCGTTTATGGCTACGCGCTCTATTATGCATTCGATATGCGGACTGGTGAACACGTGTTGCCATCCGGACGAATCCTTTAGCCTATAGCATGTGATAAAGTGCGCGTAAGCGATTACTATCCAGTTGTGATGCGCTTTTATGATCTGCACTCTCAAAGGATCCACCCAGGATGAAGCTGCGCATGAAATATAATTTAATTAATGCTAAAGCAAAAATAATATATTTCTATCTTCTTTGAAAAATTATTAATATATTTTTTTAATGACTATAGTATTCATATATATCATGTATTACTTATTTTAGAAACATTGATTTATTGAAACTTACCTTGTTGTAATCCAAATACAAGGCCAATATCGTTTTTATATAATTTATTCAAATCGGCCGAATTGTTTCTAACGTGTCTTAGATCTAGAGATGGTGTGCGAGAATGTGGGAGACCACGTTGTGGCAATCGATAATCTAAAGAAGAATTTCTCATATGTGTTCCCAATGTTCCTTTGTGATTTTGTGGACCTGTAATAAAAGTGTCTTCAGTTAATTTTTTCTTCAATTGTATTGTTCACATTTTTATCTAAATTAGATAAATTGTATGAAAGCTAAAGTGTTAAATAATTTCAAAGATGATTAATCAAAATTTTAATTACCAGTAGCATTTTGATTAATAGGATTGGCAATGTGTGGTTGGTTAGGCTGCGAGGTAGATGGTCCATCGGGTCTAGAGCTTGCACTAGGACCAACTCTAATATGAACAGATACATCACTGACATTTGACGTTACAGTAATAGGTTCTTGAAGTGGTATGCCTATAAAATAGAAAAAAAAACATAATTTGCTATAATGTTATTAATAATATTATTAGTTTAGTAATTAATTACATGGAGGTGGTAAGTAGCCATAAAACAATACATCGCCACAGGATGACTGAGTCAAGTCTTCGCAGAGCATCAAGCGTTTAACTAGAGGAGTGATACCATAGTACTCGGCCTCGTGTCTTAAAGTCCGAATATCTACATTTTTCAGATCAATATCCTTGGTACGGAGATAATTCAATATAATAGAAAATAACTTTGGATCTCTATCTATAAAAAGTGCCCCAGTTTCATCCTTATGACTGTCAATCCTGTTGCTCAACAGAGCTGTAAAGAACGAATCCGGGATCCACGTTAACGTTTGGCGAGACGTGGAGAATCTGAAAAGGAAAATCATTTATCCAACAGCTCAGCCACGATTCAAATCAAAGAAAGGCTTCTAAAAATGTAGTAAAAGATGAAAAGAATAGAATCAAAATACAAAAACGTAAGAATGAAGAATGCAAAAAGAGAGCGTTTAAATAAAAATATTAAACCAAAGAAAATAAAATTGTTACTTTGACATTTGTCAGTCTGAAAGTAGATTAAATAAATGTGAAAATTGATGACAGAAAAGGAACGCAATTTCATGAAATTAATCATCTACCTGGTGCCACCAACGTTCAAGTGAACGATATCGCTCACGCCTAGATGAGGCGCAGCCATTTTCGCGATTATCGCGCGTGTTTATAGTGACAGTTCATGTCCCGCGATAGCTGTCAAAAATATATCGCGAGCGACCAAAACAACCCCTCTAATGCGAAAACAACCCCGACGTAGGTTATGTTTTGCAATTGCACTGTGCATGCGCTGAAGACGGTTCGATATTATATCGAATGCAATATATCGAACTCGACATTGCTTACTATCGATATAAAAAAAATTATGAATTAAATTCACAATTGGCGCCACTGCGTTAAAAGTCGCGCCAAGCCGTTCATTAAACATTGTTTTTTTTGCTGTGCTGTGTGTCTCCGCGTGCAAATTTAGGTTTATTTAGAGTTTTTATAATGATTTAAGTCTTATTTGTTTGTGGTTGTGTTTTTATCCAAATCAATAAGTGAAAGAATAAATCTAGCCGAATACGAGATATCCTCATGTTTCAAAAAAATAAACATCTAGAAGATGATTTCCATCAGCTCGCTCAAGACAAAGATCGACTATCTCTTGCACTCAACAGCTGAGAAAGAAAAAGAAGTCGGAAGTAAGTTGTCTCACTTTCTAAAGTCGACGATGTACAAAAAAAGAATGACAAAAATAAAATAAAATTATCATTTTATTTTCACGAAACTCGCACACGCATTCTATTATTAATCTCGATATGTTCCTATGTATTTGCGTAAGTTTCAATGTAATTCGACATAGATTTACTATAATCCTCTTTTCGAATTGAATAACACTGACAAATTGTATCGAAGGTAAGAGTTTTAACGAGCGTTGAAAGGCTCGATAATTGCATCGACCGATCACCGACGCATGTATTTTCATTAGTGCACAGTTCGCCGGTCTCACAATCGCCTGTAATTAATTTACGGCCAACGTTTGTAACGAACCGGAGCGATGCTGTGGGCAAATCGGCTTACTGCAGCAACCGGATTGGCAGCGCAAGCTTGCAGATCGCGACGACGCGATCGAAGGTGCAAAGTTTCAGAATTATCGTCGCAACATTCCACAGTATTTTTGTCTCTCAAAAATTTCTTTCAGATGATTAATTAACATTATATTAAACCTAAATTATATAACTTTATTATTGTCTTGAATTTAATTATTTCACCAGCAATGATAAAATTTAATATTTCCTAACATGGATTATGTCTCTTAAGGATTTAAAAAAATTTTTTAAATATAAAATTCATGTTTAATAAATATATTATTAATACTTTTTTGTAATTAACGCTAATAAAGTTTATAACATTGTTTTTTCGAGATAAGAAAAGAAATTGAGAGAAAGAATATATATAATATATAAAATAAATAGTATAAAATTATATATTTTTAATTATTTATTTTATATATTATATATATTCTTTCTCTCTTATTTTATATTCTTAATATTGTTATATTCTTAATATTGAGAGCCGATAAAATATTTCTTTCTGATGATATAAAATATAACTATTATTAGAAACAAAAAAGAAGTAACACTATCTGAAAATTTAAAATACAATCTAAATAGTTTTTTTTAAACAATTAGTTAGCCTTATATCAAACGATTATTGTAATGATTCCTAAATTGTATATAAATATTATTACTGTCTTCCCTTGTAGAAATTTATCACTAATAACGCTAATTGATCACTTATTTCAAGTACTTAAAATACTAATATACAATAATTTAAGTACTCAAAATAAGTGAGTAAGTACTCGAAATAAGTGATAAATTGGCGTTACTAGTGATAAATTTTTATAAGAGTTAGATTTAATTATTTCATACAAGTAATGCTAAAATTAATATAACATGGATTATATGGATTATATGTTGTCTCTTAAGAATTTTTAATATATTCATGAAGCATTTTTAAAATGTAAGATTAAATACAATAATATAAATATAAAATATACAAAAAATATAATAATATAATTATAAAACATAAATTTAATGAATTATAATACTTTTCATGAATCTTTATTTTATTTTACAATATATATAAACACAATACAATAAGAAAATAGATTGTACTTAAATAAATTACACTTCTCCATTTATATTTTACAGCAATCCTTTTTCGAGATAAAAGAAAAGAAGTCGAGAGAAAGAATATATAAAAAAATAATAGAAACAAAAAAGAAATACCGCTCTTTGAAAATTTAAAATAGAATACAATAATATTGCGTTGAATAATTACGAATATTTGTGTTGTTCGCAGGTGTTCAGCACGTTCTACATGATGGTTTTGACAACTATACGAAGCATCAGCACTGGAGCGAACTCCACCTCACAGAGAATACGCTAGTCAATCCGCTAGTCCGAAAATATCATGCACAGGGGGATCAAAGAAGGGGGCTCCGCCTCAAAGTGGTGGAGCACTTTTAAGATCGCATAAAAGACGGATGAAGCGTCTCAAGGGGACCCCGGGATGAAGGCCACACGAGTTACGAGATACGTGGTGAGATGGAATACGCGGATAAGAGGAGAATGAGAGCTGCGAAATCCCTTCGACTCTTGAAAGAGCCTTTTTCACCGGTTGTACGCGTTCCCGTATTAAATACGAGGGAGACAGACGTTGCTTTCTTCAAACGCGGACACGGCACAAATCATCCTTTTGATTAACTCCCGCGCGGTCGCCACCCCCAAGCAACATGGTAACCCAGTAACTCCGTTAAACACCAAGACGTGCCCTCGTTGCACAATACGATAGCGTAATCGACGATACCGCAACCAGCAAGACGATTTGTCCTTGTCTGTCTACCGAGTTTGTTCTGTTAAATTACAGGGTGATCCGTAAGTCGCGATATTTTGCAACAAGCTGGTGAAATTCAGAGTGCGCGCTCTTGAGACAGCTCCGTCTTTCAAGCATATTTTGTTTCCCGACCGGAATATTTATCAGTATAAAGTCAGATATGTCATTTGTTAATGTTTTTAGAATATATCATTTTCGATTTTCAATTTTTCAATTTCCAAATGCTTGGGTTCTTAAAATTCTCATCTACTTTGATCCTGAAATTTGACTGTCTTTTAATTTCTTCAATTCATAGATGTTTAGACATATTCGTAGATCTGAAAACCTTAGAGTTCTTTAAAATCTTTTATTTTTAGACTCACGAAATTTTAAGCTCTCAAGTATATAGATTCTCGATCCTGACAGATTCGAGAGCTCCAGCTAGAGAGCGTTTAAATCTTTCAGCAATTCTCGCAGCTATATAAATCTTTCGTTTCTTCGACAAAAACAAATTCAATGTAGCAAACCCAGACAACACCATGTCTAAAAAGTGGCGCATAAGACATCTTTAAGTAGTCTTTAAAACGTTTTTAAGAAATCTTATGATATGATATCTAAAAGATGTCTTAAAGACATCTTAAATCCAATTTTAGACAATTTTATGGTGTTGTCTGGGAAACATTTATTGCTTGAAAATCCTAATCGCGGTCATCGACCGACCTTTTATGAAACGTCTTGTACACATAATTCACCGGTGATTCGCGGTGCTCTCTTTTCCCCGGTGTCGTCGAAGGGGCAATAAGTCGGGTAACGTCTGGACGAAATGGCACGATGAGTTTGGTCGCGAGCACTCACTCACCAACTCGCTCGCTCGCTTACTTCTGGTGGGGTAAAACCACGAGAAGCGAGATGGTCTCGGGAGTGATTCGAGGGTATTTTCATCGTGGCAGTGCAACACGTGCAGTCGGTGCACCATTTCGCTTCGATCTCTCGCGTCTCGCGCTGTGGCCGAATCTCTGGCGGATCCAGTCAGGAAGATATGAGTCGTTTAGGTGATCGTTTCCGTGCGTCTTAATTATTGTCAATTTACGATCGACGATTTTCGATTTGGTGGAGATCATCATCAGCAAGATGCAGGCAGTTGGATGATGCCACTCGTTGTTGACCGCGAGATGACAATATGGCGAACATCAAGGTGGCTGTGCGAGTGAGACCGATATCTGCTAGGTGAGCATTATTTACTTTCGAATATATCTAATACATTGTTGTTGAATTATAAATTTAAAGATTACAATTATTCAGGAAATAACACTCTTCAGAGATTATTTATTTAATGCATATTTAGAGATAATAAATGTTTTTGAAGATAATATGTGTTGCTTTTTATATATTGTCTAAAAAATGGTATCATGAATAATACAATTATATTGTTTTCGTATAAACTGCAATTATATTTTTATATTACGTTAAAATCGATGAGATCGTTAATATTATAATTCGGAATTTAATTACGCGATTCTTAATATAATATTAATTTTGCATAATATGCCTGCTTGAAAATGTGAATAAAAATCAAGAGAGAGTAACGGAGTATGATAATTATCGATGTGATTTTCAGTCGAGTATATTTTGTACTGTGTGCGTGTTGCTAATGAGGCTGGAAATGGTTTGGGAATGTTATTAAAGTTGGATCTCTTCGAAATTCGTGTTATTTTTAAACTAAATTACATCGACATACTTTAAACAAAAATATCTTAGAGAAATAAAAATTAACCCTAATTATAAAAACTTAATATTGTTACATTAATATGATAATTAAGCATTTTCATTAATATAATGTAATTTTAATGATAATTATTTCATCCCTTTTCAAACATATTTTCATATTTAAAAATCAAAGAAATTTATTTAATTTTATTCAATTTATTGGCATATTAAAATAATTAGATTAAAATCAATGGTTGCACTGTTTCTGTTTGTGTTTTCGCACAAATTTCGAGATATAGCAATGTGGGTCAAGGTTTGTAGCTTTGTTCGCAATACTTTGCTGAATTTGTGTGTGCTTAGTGAAGATATAAAATATTAAAATAATGATAATCAATTTGCTATTACTTTCAAACATTGAAATACTGTTGCGACTTATTATACTAAATTATATATCATAGGAATTATTATAAGAATAAGAATGCTAAATCTTTCTTCCAACAAATTCCAGTAATAGGAATAAATCAAGATTTATGATTCTGTTTTGCAAAAATTATACATTTTTTTACGATTCAGACTTATAGAAGCATCTGAAGAATTACAAAAAATCGTATACGTGTTCTTTTTAAATGATTTATTTTTTGAATATTCCTAATTGTATAGGAAGTATTTAGACGCATTTTGTAGACAAGTTTTGGTTCTTGAATCATTCACAATTGTATTATTCGCAGTTTTGGATTCGTAAGTCCTTGCGTGTGTCGAAGCTTCTAAATTCGTTCCCTGCATCTTTTCTCGTTCCGAAATTTTTGGTACTTTCGAATTTTCAGTTTACGCACTTGTACGCAGTCGTTCGATGTGCAAGCACTTACGAACTCGTTTCTATACTTAGAATACTAGGGTGGCGGCAAAAAGACGAAAAAGACGATCTAGCGCGCCCGTCCACAAGCGTTAAAGGCGGAATCACCGGAAGCGTAGACGAAAGCGATCAGGCGTCGAGAACTTGAGGACCTTCTGGGAAGCTTCTGTCGCGACTTTATTGCGCGTTTATTCACGTTACAAATCGTAATTAAAGCGTGATTAATTGCGTCGGTGCGCTCGGTCGCGCTGCATTAGCCGAATAATTTAGGAGCACTTAATTGTGAAAGCTCTCCGATCTATCCTCGACTGTTCGGTTAGTTTTCGAATATTTTAGTAACATATTTTGCTATCGCATTTTTAACGAGTTATTAACGAATTGCCTTATTTTTCAAGACAACATCAATGAGAAAAATACACGAAAGAGTTATGTTTTTCAATTTTTTAGATTTATTTTTCTCTTTCTCCCTCTCTCAATATATGTATATGTATGTATAATTATATGAATCGAGTGTAACCGAATATTTAAGCTCACAAGCTATATTTAAAGGTACAGAATGGGGTCTCACGAAATTCGTTTGCAGCAGGAAATTAATGATTTCGCATGTTGAAGTTTATTATACGTATCCAGGCAAGATGTGCTCAAATTTCGTTCGAGTTTTATTTGTTAAAATATGTAGCAGCTCGTTTATACCATATGCTGCTTGCTTCGTGATTTAATAGATTTTCATCTTAATTTATTGATATTTTTTGATAATTTATCAAATTCTCTATAAAAAATTCTCCTAAATCTTTAGATTCGTATAATTTCTTTTTCTTTCTCTTGAATCTTTCAAGTCCCTTGAAACCCCTAAGTCGATTATTAAAACTTTTAGATTGTCAAATAATTGGACTTTTCAAGTATATGTCATATGTAATTTATGTCAAAGTTTCCAAGTGAAATTAAAAACTTTTGTTTCCAACAAAAAATGACATTTCTGATATGATTCTTGAAATATGAAAATAATTATTTGTCATATATACTTCGTGAATTATTTGTCCCCTTTTGCACAAACTTTAGCTTGAATTTTCTTCGCGAACGAGGTGACGCATCATTGCTGTCGACTGTTGCTTAATGATTCCCAAAATACTCCCATTGACTTAGCGTGGGGTTGGGCCGCATAGGGACCGTGGCTTTGCGACCATAGGGCGACCTTTTTACGTTGACAGCTGGTGCATCTGTTCCGTTTATAGTCGCCTTCGTCTGACAGGTACGCGTATATCGTCTTAATGCGTCGGCATTGTTATTTTCGTGCTCTTGCGCTGAGAGAATATCGAGGATACACATGTCTCTTTTATTATATTATATGCGTCGACCAATGTGGCGCGAATTTAAGGGATGCTCAAGCTCCAAAAACGTTCTATAGTTTAGAATTCCGTCGACTGTACGACAGGACAGTTATTTGTTCCTTTCAGTAAAATAGTGTGTTATTCAATTATTATATTAAATATCAATATTAAATTTATTATGTTTCTAATGTCAATCATAATCTCTATAGTGTTGTGCATATTCTCATGTCTCCCTTAAAATTTTAACAAATTATAATTTCTAAATTAGGAATTTTTAAAATTTAACCACATTAATAATTTTTTAAGAGCGCAAGACTGCAAATTCGAAACACGCACGCAAATATAAATTTAAGAATATCAGGATTTATGTTCTGCAATGATGTTATGTAATTTAAAAATTTAAAAATTTATGAACTAATAAAATTCACATAAATAAATTGTTTATGAAGATGAGGAGAAAGGAAGAAAGAAAGATTATCTTAATTGAGGCTTAGAAAGAATACAATTTTTAACATTCACTTAGGACTCAGAGTTAACGACACCGGAGAAGCAATCCGTTTTTAGCAAGCTCAAGCGATTAAAGCACGAGGACAAATAAACAGAGCGAAGATGAATCACCGGCGCTCCGCATCATAGTTATCACAGCTCTCGTAAAATATTTAGTGTGTATATCTTAAAAGAGTTGATTAAATTTACAATTAGAGTTATTTCGTTGCTAATTATAAAAATTAATATTTTTGTAAAATATTTTTTATAATGGCAATTATTTTACATTCATTTTATATATCGAGACAAATGATGATGAGAACAAATTATGCACATAATTGCATACACTTTTTTATCCAAAAAGTTGTGGTTTTTTGTACGGCTGGACTTGTCTCTTGTCAGTGTAAAAATATAATATTAGTGAGAATTCGCATTTTCTCGCGATTAAAACGCGAGACACGACACGAAATTCTATAGGAATGTTTGGATTAGGACGAGGGCGAGTCTACGACAGGGTTGAAAGAATCACGCAAGAGCCGGGGTTAAAGTTCTTTTCTGCCCTCCATATATATACTCCACACAGAGGATACATAATCGCGACATCCTATCTGTCGTGACACGCAAAATGCAGCGTTGCACGACACCGACTGACCTAAAAACGCGACTCGACCAGTAATTCGCGATGTAAACCTCGAGGTTTCTCCCGAGGGAAACTTGTTGCATGCGTCTTTGTAGATCCAAAGACACCTGGAATCTTTGAATCCGTGTGATCTAGCTTTTAATTTTTCAATTTTCATTTTTTCTATAACTCTTAGAAATTTCTCTTTATCATTGAATTCCATGCACTCCTGAATCGTTCGATTTATTAATTTCACACACGTTTTTTTATATACGTTCATACATTCCAAAAGATATTTTAGTATGATATGATGTAATAGCTTTTTTCAAATAAAAAACATTATAATTAATATTAAAGTTTATTAAAGGGAATAGCTTTTTCTATCTATAAAGCGATCGGTCGCGCAAAGCGCTTTGAGAAAATCGGGCAAAGCCCTCTATAAAATAACATGGGGGTCGCATACCCCCGTGTGAACACGACGTACGATGTATGCACCATCGCCGCCGCCGCGCCACCGCTTTTCGATGAATCGATTCCGATCCACGAAGCATGAAAAAATGTGCTTGACAAAAAAAGCATGAAATAAAAAAAGAACGATGACGGAAGCGTAACACGTATATATACGAGGCGAGGAAGGTGGAAAAACGTTGCTAGCTTCGAAAATGTTAGCAAAGCTATTTGCAATGTTCCAGTACATGTTCGTTGACCCTCTCGCAAATATTTACGAGACGATACCAGCAGTTATTTCTCGTGTTTGATCGGCAGATCGCGGTCAAAGCCAATTTACAAAAATCCTTATGAATCCTTTCTCTCATTTGCATTCTTCTTAAAATTGAAAAACGCCAAGCTTTCTGTTGTATTATTCCAATTTTTTTAGATTCTTAAATTTTGAAATATACAGACTGTCCCAGAATAATTAATAAATCTGTTAATTGCAGATCAGATTCATGGGATCATTCGGAGATGATTTTTCCTTAGTGAAAATGTTGAGGGAGACCATCATTTTTTGTATGTTCCCAATTTTTCATCGTGTATTTTGGTAATTAAGCTTTAAATTAAAATTCTATTAAAGCAAATTCTACATGAAATTAATTGAAGACTGTGATTTTGTTAATATTTTATTTCCATAAAGCTTAGTTTGCGAAAAACCTCTTATTTTCAATCGCTTATAACTCGAAAATTATTGATACGACATTATTTTCGCTGAGGAAAAATCATCTCCAAATAATCCCAGAAATCTGCCATTGCCTTCGTGTGATTCAGGGACACCCTATTTATTATATTATTATATAGTATATTAAATTGTATTAGAGTCTGATGTTCTCCAACTTTGAATTTCTTTAATTCTTTTGTGATAAATTTTTATATTTTTAGAATTAGATTTCAAAATTGTATATACTTTTTATTTCCGCAGGGAATTAAATTTGACGGGGTCCGAAGTGGTGATCCGCGCAGAGCCGAATGAGATTTCCTTGACAAATTTGAAGGTGTCATCGAGCAAGGCCGGGGATAGTCGCGAGAGGACCCGGAGATATGGTTTCGATTACTGTTTCGATTCGTCGAGTCCCGAATCGAAGAATTACGCCACCCAAGCGATGATCTACGAGACACTCGGCCAGTCCATCCTGGACGTCATGTTCTCTGGATATAATTATTGCCTGGTAGCTTACGGGCAGAGTGCGTCCGGTAAAACCTACACCATGATGGGCACAAAGGTGTGGCTACACTTTTATTATAATTTTCACTCTTTTATTATAATTTTCAATTGCTTTATTCGGACGTGGATTATCGGAATTTCGTGAACGATCCACATCGCGATATTTATAATGTTCATATTTTAGTTTTTATAGACATAATGCAAAATGCAGCTGAAGCTTTTATGCAATGCGTTAATATAATTTTAAACACTTTTATTAATTTTAAATTTTAACGTGCTTTAATTATAAATTTACTTGTGAATGTGGATTCTCGATAATCGGACGTATGAATAATTGAGCGTTTAGCTTATTTTGACTTTATAATACGACACATCGCATATATGCGTACATATATGCATCAAATGATGAATTATAAGCATATTACGAGTTATTATGAAGTATTATTTACATATTTTATCGACATACTAATAATATTAACCTTTGTTTCGATGCCGCCTCTGAATAAATAACGGATTTAAAAAAAATCAATTTTATTCGTTATTTATCCAGTCAAAAGTATACATAATTGCGCTTTTATCGTTAAAAGAGAGGAAATTACTGGTTCGTCTTCTTTAGTGTACCTAAAATATTTATCTACGTTATAAAAAAAATATCATTGATCGGTTTTACAAAGAGATACCTGAGAATGTTTCATTAAAGTTTCATCCGATAGTATAGAGAAACGCTCTATGCGTAAAAAATTGCATTTGCGATTTCGAGCACGCTCTCGTCGTCCGTTAAAACGCGTTTCGCATTTTATGTCTATTTTATCAACGTTATTTTCGCGCGCGGCAGCTTTGCAAGAACTCTTTTACCATCTGAATAAACCGGTGATGATGTGTTTACGGGTCAACGTACAATGTGCAAATTGTTCCGATTTATCTCGTAATAAATCTGATTGGCACTTTATTTTCATTTTTGCGGGACATAATAGACTCCTTCCATGCATCGTCGGACCGGCGTCCCGTTTCATTTGATATGCAATATTATTTTCAAAAGCAAAGCGCGCGCGGCCCGAATTATTTTGATTTCCCCGCATTTTATTAATACACATCGCGAAACGTTATTCTACGTTTTTTTTTATTTTTCACGCACAATGCGGCGCAATCTATTTGCTTTTATTTCGGCCGGGTGGCGTTTTGTTGTCATCAGCGTTGTACCCGCTGACGTTCTCGCAATATCCACGAAAATATCCATGCAAAATGTATATATACCTGCCAGGTTCTAAAAAGTGTTCACTCGCCAATCCGAAGGGCCGATATGCGTTAATTAATTTCGTCAAAAAGTGTTATTGATCTTTTAAAGCGCGCCTTTTCACGCTCGGATTTCCTTATTCGAATAACTCATTAATTCTCCTGTATCATTAGAAAGCTGTTTCGTTTTTCTCACACACGTGCGTTTTTTCGATCTTACAATTCACAAATCTGTGAAATGGTATCAATAAAGTATTTTAACGAAACCTCATTTGGCAAAAAAATCAATGATAAAATGCTATCAGTTCATTATAGGCATATATATAACAAGCTTTATTTTCAACATTTTCGGAAAATTTTATTTTATCAAACAACAGAGCCGATACATTGATGAATGTTTACAATATTCCATGAATTTTAGTTATTTTGATTAAATTGATGATTTTCTATGTGTATTATTAAATTTTTATGTAGTTTTAAATTTTCATGTAGTTTATCGTAAATTTATATTTTAATACTGGAAAATATTTCAGTGAAAAATATGGTCTTTTCATATAAAATACTATTTTTTTCCTCAATTTATCATAACCAAGTTTGACTGTATACATTTTATTGCAAGAATAATTAGATGGTCATGTTAATACAAATTTTATATTATTATATAATTTTTACTTAATAAAACTTATTATATTTATTATTATATTGAAAACCATATGATGAACTTGTTTTTAATATTATTTTTTGACTTTCTTGATTACGATTACGTTTCATATAATGTTTTTTTATATGATTAGTTATTAAATTTTTGAACAAATTAAATTTTCAAAAATTCCCAAATTTTTATTTTATTATCTCATATTCTCGATTTTAATTTTAAAAAAGTAGAAGTATCCACATTGAACGTTAATTATTAAAACTTAAAATATCAATTACTTTTCATATCTTGAATATAATCAAGCTCATTTCATTAGCTCATACAATACACAATTGCTGCATTAATTCACTCAAAATCCCTTTCGCCTTATTATTGTATCGGCATACGAAAATCGGCGAGATGAATTTCCCGGGAAATATTTAGCTTCCATCAACTCTAGCACTCTCGTATAACAGCCTCGTGAAACTATATATTTTGCATTTTGCATAAACTGGTCGATGCATATTTAAAGTTTAAACAGCATCAACTTGATTATTGGTTGTCCTTCTTCTCCTCCGCTTCTCTTCTTCTTCTCTCTCCATTCCCGAAATTATCATATCGCATCGCTGATTCTAATTAGCGGACAAGAGAGGAAAAGTCCTTGTTGCAGAATCAAATCGTTTCGCGTCCCAAAAATTTAAAATAGTAAATTGAAACTGGTTTCTGCGGAATAGCGCTTTATTAAATTGCTTGTCCACATCCGTTGGCGTTTTTGCGTACGATCAGAAGCTGTGTATCCGAATGCGAAGAGATAGCGTTTTAAAGACACAGGCCGTGCAGCACGCTTATTTCAAGCTTCAATTTTATAAAAGAATTCTTCCTTCTTTCTCTCTTTGTTTTTCGCAAGTGTTGGTTAATAATGTATTAAAGTTGTAAATTGATACAGATTCTCTCATTAAATTTATTGTTTCTGGTTCAAATAGGTTTTATCAATTAATCTTTCATTCCCAAGAGAACAATTTTCTCTTTTTATGTGATAATCTTTTTCCATGTTTCATTCAATTATTTTGTATTTTGGAGAAACATTTATAAAAAAATATACAGAATTTTATTTAGGTAATTTACTTAATCTAGAATCGATATTTCTCTCCTCTTTACATTAATAATATAAATCATTAATAATATAAATCACAGTCGTTAGAGTGATGTGTCACGTGTAACATCGTCTTCTCTCTGTTTTTGCTGTCGGGTGTTAGTAAGGGAGTCACTGCTCTGCTTCCTTCCTGACGATGGTCACCGTTAGGGAGACACTCCGACGGACGGTTTGAATAGGGAGGAGAATGATATTTATTTATTTGCGGATTCTACCGAAGAAGCGAAGTGGGTCGAAACGTTTAGAATTTAATAAATGAGTTTGATTTGAGATCTCATTTTAATTTATTAATTTGTGCATGTCATCCGCACAGGCTCCGATTGCCGTCGAGATTTTATTTTTATTGTAACACAATAATTTGAGCCGAGATTATCAGTTTTTTTTATAAATATAAATCTTTTCGCAAACAGTGAAGTTTTTTCTTCCACGTTATTATTTTTATGTCCGTACATAGAGATTGAAATTATAGTGAAATGAAGAATATTTAAATCTGCGACTAAATATATTTTGCAATAATTAATAAATTAATGTTGTTCTTTCAGGAGGATCCAGGACTCATTCCACGGTTGTGCGAAGGAATTTTTCAAAGATCGGGCAGCAGAGCGACCACGATAGAATTTATCGCGTGACTGTGAGGTAAGTGCATTACCCGACAAAAACTTTTTCAATTATCCGTGAAATATATAAACACGCGTGCAAAGTTTGTAATGTAAATTCGCGACTTCAAAGATAAATTTTCTCATTTACGTTTTGCGTCGAAAAGCGAAACGCAACCGCGTCGTGATTTAATTTGACGTTTATAGGTTCTTCTTCATATTATTTTAACAGTATTGTTAGAAAATGAAATCATATATTTTAATATACAACACACGTTATTATTATAGTTCAATATTATTTTATTAATATATTATTTTTTATTTTTAAATTAAAGTTTACATTAAAGTGTTAAATATGTACGCGTGTATCGCTAATTGAAAAGTTATAATATAATATTCTTACATGTAAATATTATATTATTTTAAATATTTTTTTAAGTATTTTTTATACTTTTTTATTATTATCAGAAATTTTAATAATTCTTGATAATCTAATATCTAAGGCTATAACGCGATAAGAATGTCGATGAAAATTTCAAGTTCTCTTCGATACCATCAACAGAGAACTTCCGTATTGCCACTAAAAATGCTCCAAGTATCTCGATATTTTGTACTAAGTACATACTCAGGAAGATACTTATAAACCGCGCTACACGGTGCTTCTCCTTTTACCACCAAAAGTTCGTCGCGCTTTGCCGCAGCTTCGATGAAATCTGCTTACTTAGGTACATTCTTTTATTTTCTGTGTTGCTGGCCGTTGTGGTGTACGAGTATATTAATATTATAATATTATAATGGTACTACGAGTATATTAATCCTGTCCGAACACGATCAACTTCCTCGTTATAAACTTTTTTACATTTTTTCAACCAGCAAGTTTGAACGCAAAATTATAGAAATATTTAATATTGCATGTAACATCTACACTTTTCTTCAAGATGTAGCATATATATACACTAAAATGCTTTAATAAGACTATATATTTAAATATTTAACTCTTTATATATCATATAATTATTTAAATTTTCTGATACTAATATTTCAGTTGATATGAAAGAAATATGATATATGAGAAATAAATTGGTTTGGATTTTTTTACTGAAAATACAATTTTTCATAAATTCTCACACATCGATACAACTAATAAAGAATGGTTTAAAGTAACATTAAATCAGTTATTGTAAAGTTAAATATATATGCATGAAAATACATCCTATATATAATATAGTCGCTAATGAAAAAGTTATAAATTATATCAATCCTAGATTATCATTTACGCCAGGCATGATATATTGTCATTGTTTTCTCTTCTACCGCGTCTTGGAAAATTTAATCATGCTGCAAGTCGAACAGATAGCCTTCGGAACGCCGATAACCTGTCCGCGTCTTGATAACTGTGGGAAAATCAACACCCTTTGCTCGCAAATACCGCGTGAATACACGTACGTGAAACGCGGATACAGGATGATCAAAAAGTCACGAAACTCAAACGTATACGTGGTACAATGCGCGGTGATATTTATAAAAATATGTGTGCGTAAAAACCAAATTGTTATTAATACCAGAAATGTGTCACGTCGGACGTCAAACGAAATGTGATTTAGTTATCTCGTTTTTTTTACACCAGCACTACGCTATGTCGAAATAAAAAAAAAAAATACATATAGAATATAGACACGGTTGAATAGCGAAGCTATTAACAATTCTATTTCGCGGTCCTATCTTTCATATAAAAAAAAATTCATAAAGATGTAACGCGCTATCTCTCCCATAAAAAGTTGGTGAAATTAAAATATATTGTCACGTTGTGTGACAATGGAATATTTGATATCGCGCGAAGTAACAGGTAATAAACCGTGTAATATTAAAGTTATGCCGCAAATCTCATTACTTCTCCGATCACTCTGTATGTCGGGAACAACATTAGCGCTTTCGGTCAAGGCCCGCCAATCAAGGCGGGCTTCGAGTTCCTTTCGTGTCGACGATCACTGGCGTCGTGTCTAATCCCCATCGCGAATTTGCGAGCTCGTGGTTCGCGAGTTTTACCGGCCCGGGCAATTCGGCGAAAGCCCACCCAAGTATAATAATGACAAATTGATACTGCATCGAAAATCGCGCTTGCGGGATTGCAAAAGTCGTTTTACGCTCTCGCCGATCTATCGCCTTCGATGTTACGGATTTACTATTTATTCCGCTTTAATCGCTTTTACACATATCGCCCCGAATTCGCGCACCGAAATAGCTCGCTCTGACTCGCGGGAACAAATCGCTTGGCGATAATTGCCAATCGACAAAATCCCGCCGAGACACGCTGCGCGCCCCATTTGTGACGCGAATAAATGGATAGTTCGACTTCGTGTATTTTTGGCAGGCGTTAAACGGCGACGTTCGATGGAAAACGGGGATTTTAGTTTGACAAAAGGCTGGAAAAACTGCGCTGGTATAAATTCGAGGAGACAAGCTTATATCGCGATTCGATTGTGATAAGTGACAGTCAATGTTTTCGAATCCCTGAATGCATGTTCGCGAAATTCGGAATGTTGTAGAATTTTTCAGAGTCGAAGCTCGAAAGTTCAATATTTTGGATTCAAGTTAGAGGGAAAGCTTAAAATTTCAGAGTTCAACAATCTTAGTTGTACTAAACAAGATTTCAAATATGGGAAATTTTTGAAAAAGCTGCACAGAAAAAAAGGAATCCTTGATTCAAGTATATTTTTATTCTTGAACGCTATTTGATTGATTTAAGCATAGAATGCTCTTTGTAATCACAAATTTTCATTTGCCTTAATAATAAATAAGTTTGTGTAAAGTATATTTTATCCTTAAGATATATTCTTGTTTTAAAAATCGCATATGGTAAAAACAAACTTAGTCACATTTGAACTAAGAATTATTATATATATTTGAAAGTACCGCTTATATCCGATGCACACTTGTCACTTGTCCCCTCAATATTTATAAGTAAATTTCAGCTTGAACCAAGAATATTTTGCACTTTGTTTTAAGGATAAATTATCCTTTATCCAAAATTATTTATATTTGGTGCTATTATAAGGATAAAATATACTTGAATCAAGGCATATTTGCATTCTCTCAAGGATACTGTTTTTTCTGTGTGTGCTTTAAATCCTTATATTTTTACATAATTTAAATATAAAAATTTATATGTATATTTAGAAATGTGTATAGGGACATATGTATATCTTCACATGAAGACAATTTTCCCTTAGAATTTACCCTGAAAATCATGGCAATCGTGGGACAATATGATATTGGAAGATTTTTGTAAAGTATTAATATTTACCACAATAAAAAATATTATTATGTACAATTAATCGTATATAATTTATATTTTTTATCTCACAATTATCATGATTTTTAGAGTAAATTCCAAGAGAAAATTCTCTCTGTGTGTGTAGCTAGATAATTATTTATAGGCTATATCTGCGTATATATTATATAGCAGATTAGATAATAAAAAATCTTGTAATTGAACGAGGATTGAAGAGAGTTTAGGCGGGAAAATACTATGAGTAAGGTAAAGGGTTGCGACGGGTGGTGGTAGAAGGGAGAGACGATAGACATAGAGTCGAGTTTGTGAGTCGCGAGGCTTGCAAGTACGGTCTGTTGGCCTGGATGTGTCTTGCAAGCTCAGTGCCCCGTGACTCGCAATCCCAGACGGACGCAATCTCGCTGCAGCCGGGTAAGACTAACAATAAGACTGTACCTCAAATGTGCACCGTCCAATCTCTGTTTCTTGTATGTCTCGCGCATTTTCGCCAAAAAATCGAGGATACTTAGTTTTCTCAACTTCCCGACACGTTAGTACTTAATCGCGCTAGATCCTCAGATTTCGGTACTCTGGTCCTGGTATCTCTGAAATCATCGAATTTCAGATTTCCAAATTTCAAGTCAGATCCATGGAATTTTAGAATTTTTAAATTAAGAATTCAAATCAAATATTTCTAAATTCTTGAATTTACAGAATTCTTAAATTTGTATTTTATGATTTCCATAGATCATTTAGGTTTAAAATTAAACATTTTTCGGGTTTCAAGATTTTTTTGGCTTCGTAAATTTTAGAATATTTGATCTCTTAAATTTCAAAACTTCCTTGAAATAATATAATACTTGAAATAATACTTAAATTCTTAAATTACATATTTATATTCTCAAATATCTATATTCTTAAATTGTTAAATATTTTGCTTTTGCCTTCTAAGGCAATTTGATAATTTCAATTTAAATTTTTCTTAAATCAATACTTTGATTATTATTGAGTTTCTTTCTTTTTTATGCAATTCTTGCGGAATAAGTTGAAAAAAAGCCCGCAAAACTATATGTTAATACTTTTTTATTAAATCTCTGTGAAAAAAAAATATAAATTTGTTTCTGTTATCACTCGCATTTCGTTATGAAGCAGAACATTTTCCGTACTATATCAGACAAAGCTTAATATCTCATAATAATGATATTTTTCTTTATTATTTCTTAAAGTTTATATATTAAATATATGCGCGAAAATAAAAGACAGCGCATTATCACTGCATTATTATATTTTTCGAAATCACATAAAAAATAAATTATTTTCTTTTTATCATCATTATTTCGCGTGTATAATTTTGCAAATAAATTTATACCATATTGCGTTTATTCACATTCATTTTATATCTCTCTTTTCTATGACAATTAAGAGAAGCATTTTATTCTGCGCGCAAATGATTAGAGGCAAGTGGAACAATTGAGGGGATAAAATGTAAATGATAAACGCATTTGGTAATTAATACAATATTAAATATCGAAAATTTCGATATTACTAAATATTACCTTTCCTCCTGGATTTATATTCTTGTTGGATTCATATTCATTTAAATAGCGCATAATAAATTGTATAATAAAATAGATCCCGGATATAAGTATGTGATAATATAGATAAATAAATAAATAAAAAAAATATAGAGGATAAAATATAAAGTATAGATATACTATAGAGATATAAAATCTAAATCGACAACATGTAGAAAGAAAATCCGTTACAAA